ANATATACAGTAACCAACAATCAGACAGCCACCGCCCTCGACGCTGGATCTTCCATCTCGTATCCATTCCTGAATTGTGTCTTTCAAGAAGGCTAGTTTAGGGGCATTGAGTCTGTATGGCTGTAGTTTAATAGGCTGCTGTCGGGGGTCTAAGAACTGAATCCCAACCGGGTCTGAGTCTACCGGTCTAAGGGTTTTATCAAACATACCCCAACAGTACGCTATCATCTCTTTGAAGTGCTGCTTCATGGAGTCCCCGAGCACTGGGTTATCTGTCACACCAATCCTTTTCATGGTGTCAATTAATTCTTGATCCGTAGCAGGTTTTACTCGCCACTGATCGTCGACGCCTAAGTCTTTGGGTTGGTCAGGCAACGGTAGCCCTCGCTCATCCCTGTCGGCGTTTTTCCACGGTGGCCAAACTTCGGCCTCCGCGGTTGTTTCGGTTGAGTTCGCAGCTGCTCCCTCAGCCTCAGTATCTTTCTGTGGATGCTGGTCAGCACTCCACAAGGTTCCGTCAGTGACGGAGTCCATCAACTGAACTGCTGTGTTTTGACTGAACCTGTTCCTGAAATCTGAATAGAAGGTTATGGTCCATCGAACCCCTGCTCCTAGTTCATGCGTAATCCCGGTTCGCCTATTGATTTCGCATAACCGGCCCCACGTGTCGATTCGCCTCTCAGGCTCTGAGACCAGTACGTGGCTGTCCACGTTGGGCCCTCCTGAAGTCATGACAGCGGTTCCTAAGTCCTTTGCGCTAGAGCGGGTTTTCCCATCTCTAGAGGCGATCGAAATTTTAATATTGGTAAGCTTGTTGCCTTTAACACGCCCCTGGTTTATTGTCAAGAACATGTCTCTCAACACCATCCACAAGTCAGCTATGGTGGGGTCGTGCATGATGGAGAAGGGTACTCCAGTCATATGACTGATACCCATCAGGAAGGATACTCCTTCTGGCGCGCCATCATTGGCCGCGCCACCATCCTCAGGGAGACTCATGCCTCCTAGTTTTGCCATCAGTTTACGATTATTCATTATCTTATCCAACAGTAGGTGGTCTACCTGCTCTCGCCATGCACTACTTGTAGATATTCCCTTAGTGTTCGGCGGAATTAGGCATCCTTCTGGGGAGATGTCGGTTCCTTCTGATGGGTTAACTTCATATATAAATTCCCCTGCTGTGCTGTGATCGTACGGCAGGAACTTTTGCTCTATCTCTTCCAGGCTATAGCGCTCGAACACCCTTCGCCTAGGGTCGAACACAATCGCTGGCCGATCTATATTATCCTGAAGGTTGATATCGTACTGGTGAGGCCAGTCATGAGTGATCAACACGAATTCATACGGAATCCTCCTCTCTGATGAAGGGGTCCCTCTGGTCATCATCCGGTTTCCCGGTCTCAGTCCCGCGCGAGCATTCTTAAACGCGGGCGACCATGGCACGTATTTGGGGTCCTCACGGTTTCTGTCTGGTCTGGGACGCACATCCTTGCAGATGTCAGGCAAGTCTATCACGCTCATATTCAAAGGCTCCTGAGCATACTCAGTTTGCATTGTATGTGCTTTGACCGAAGCCTTTGCTGGTCTTCCTTCTGGGCATGTGTCGTGTGTTTAAGATACCGTCTGGCTGCAG